TGACCTCGTTATGGTGAGTGAAATAGTTGTTCGAAATGGTAATGGCTGTTGACCCTATTATGGCATCAATGAGGCCATCTGCGCAATTTGAAAGAGAATTGTGATCAATCCAAATGTGGCTTGCTCCAAAAATGGAGATACCATCTCCGTCAGCCATAGTTCTCCAACCATAATGGCTAGGCGAGCTACGAACCATCGCATTGCCTGTCCTCTTACAATCATGTATATGGAGACCGTGAATTATGACATTTGAGACAAACTGGATGGTGATACAAGCCCCGTTGGCAATGTGGACATTGGTTCCACGAGCATCTATGGTCTTGAAGCTGTTCATGATAAGCTCTTGCTTGAGGGTAATCACCATGTCCCTCTTGAACACAATCCACAAAGGCTGGTCTTGAATGACAGCATGGCGTAGAGTCCCTGGTTTTGGGTTAACAGGGTCATCATCGCCAGGGTTACTAACGACATAGTATTTTCCATCGCGACCTCCGACAGCATTGCGTCCAAAACCGATGCCACATTTAGCAAGGCGCTTTCTGTGGAGTTGCCAATGGGGATCACATCGCCAACAATCATCAATAGGATTGCCCGTTACGCATGAGAAAAATCCCAATTTCCTCCTTTCAGTGCTGTTGCGTATGCTCCTGGTAAAAACAGAAATCACAGTTATGAAATTGCTATCATCATCGTCTAATTAATCAAGTTGTTCCTTTCCTTTTTCCATGAATTGACATCTGAGCTACTAAATTATCCACTAGTAACCAGTCTGAAGTCCAAGTTAAAGCACGTGTAGCAGAAAAATAAGAACGAAAAGGCCAACAGTTATGTACAATTATCGCAACAACATTAAATGTGTTCAAAGTCGCGGACCAATATAGTGTAAGTATTTAATCAATCACTTGGAAGTTAAAGCAGGCTGTCCCGCTTCAAGATGAATACCATGTGATGGGAGATGGATACGGTGCGTACGGAAAAGCGTGTGATTCTCTCCCTCAATTTGCTGTGTAGGAAAGAAATAAATGCAAGACTGGGGGAACTAATTCCTGTCTGTTACCTAGTGTGTCGGTGGACATTAAAAATGTGGACATTTAGTGAGGTACTTAGTGTGTCGGTGGACATTTTTTGGACATTAAAAATGTGGACATTTAGTGAGTTCATGGTGGCCCAATTGGATAAATTGAGCAGCTGCTGGATCAACAAAAAGGACTTGGATAAAGGCATACGGTATGAAACCAGATCTGTGCTATGTGACTTGTACCTCCTGTCTCTTGACAGGCTGGAGAATAGGAGCAGAATCTAAGTTGTCTTCCCCACCTGGTGTTTTTACAGGGCAATATACGTAATTAATACAGTTCCAATAAATCTAAAATGTGAATTTTAGCCTTGGTGGAAAAATTTATGAATTTGTAATGGTGTGAAAGAATAACAACAGCTCAATTCTTTAGAAGTGGGACAGAACTTGAGTGAAATTGATTGTAGAATTTAGTGGCAACTGGAGGTGGAATCCTATGTTATATATAAACAACGCAGATTAGCACCCATAATTTGATTCAAGAAACTAACTTGTCAGTAAAATTAGAAGACTCAATGCAAAAGGACATAAACTCTACCATCAGAAGGGTTTGGCATGCTAGATATCCTGCAATCTGGTAAAGCAAAAGTCAGCATGCAAAACGGCATCTCCTCTGGATTATTATTTTTTTTTCGTTTAATGTACACTCAAACTCAACAATGACTTCTTAGAAGTCATTAAAAAGACCATTAAATAATCACAGGAGCATTTGATATAAAGCTAGTGTACTTGTGAATGAGATTTGGACTGGGAAATAAATTAAGGGCGTGGTGCGCGGATCTCAGGACATGTGCATGTGCATAAACTGGCAGCAAGATTAAAAGGTGGAAGGAGAGAACGCTAAAGTAGAGAACATGGTTGTTGATTAATCCTCAAATGATAGATGGGAGCTTCTTGAACAATACTTTAAAGGGTCTTTTATTTATCACAAAAACCGACAGTAACAGAGAACAAAAAAGCGCATAGACATTAACATGGATGAACCAAAACAGCTAGAAATTATCCTTAGATTTAAACAAGCCCTCTTTTACCTCTTCCCTTTTCTTTGCTTTTCCACCTGATTAGTAGTTAGTAACGCGTTTTTCTCAAATTAATTTGACGTATCCTGTATTGAGGCTTCATATATACCATTTGTCATTGACTCTTTTGACTGAAACTTCGACACCAGTGAGGTAAAAAATACATCTAACGTTCCGAAAGACCAGTAGAGACTATGCTTGATATACATATCCTATATTTATTTATTTATTTATTTTCTTTTCCCCTTAATATCTTCAAAACCACAGGACTACTCTTCAACAGTTATAGCTTCAAACTAGCCACGTCATTTGTCGTTGACTCTTTTGCGTTTGACAGGAATTTCAGCACCAGCGAGGTGAGAATGACATCTAATGTTCCAGAAGAGCAGTAAGAACTAAAAACTATACTTAATGTTCAATAAAGAAGACTAGATCAGGGTTTACTTTTGAGTTTAAACATGCACAAGTCATGTGGTCTCTTCGTAGCTCGAAAATTTAAGAAGTTCATTCAATGGAATCACGAGATTTATGGAAATAGAACGGCATGTGCCCAATAAAATAATAACTTAGCATGCATTAGACTTGCTCTTAATAATTCTCATAGGAAGAGGGATCCAAAATAAATAATAAATAATAAATAAATTAAAAAACCAAAAACAAACCAGAGAGAAGGAGAGAGGCACTCACTCATCAACCATTGCAGCCACCTCCTCTGAATCCTCTACAGTATGCTCGTTCCATGCATCATCAGACCTGAAAACATACAAGTAAATCTGAATTTTAATTCAAGATGAAGAGATTTACACATATTTGATGACTAATTTAGCCTCACAAAATCCTGTTGCTCGAGTAAGGTCATTTTCGTACATTAAAAAAGACCCAAAGAGTGCGATTCTAACAAATCCAAGCATAACGAATTAACGATCGGTCCGGATTAACTTTCCGGGCGCGATCTCAATGGCTTAAAATTAACGGATGTTAGATAGATTCCGCTCGATTTCATCCAACGGTCCGAGTCCCACCATTTTCAACGTTTACGATTGGGACCTCTGTTGAGATTTTTAACTTGTCTGTTACTCCCCCCTCTGCCATTGACGAGTTCTTTGAGCTTAGCAACTCCTGCGTTTCCTTCAACCTGATAGAATAAATACAAAATATCATGACGACTCTGTGTTGAACACTAACATTTTCTTGTTAATTCATTCAATGCACTAGAATTAAGCAAATAGAAAATGCTCGTATACGGAGATTCTTTTGGAGCTTGCAATGAATGAAGATCACGGTGATTCAAATGTGAACAAAATGCATCTCTGCAGTCTTCTATACTGAATGAATTCTCATCAAGATGTACCTCAATTTCAGTTCGTCTTTCTCTTCCGCAGCGTTTACTCTCAGAAACATAACTAGAACCAGCAATGTCCATGTACAAAAGCATCTTAGCGAAACCGCCATTGTTGAATCAAAGAACACACACTCTCTTATAATTGCTCTTTCTATTCTCTCTTTCTCTAGAAAAGAGAGAATCTCTCTGTTTCTTTTTCTGTGCACTGATGAAGAAGAAGAAGAAGATGGAGTCAGAGAAGAGGTGAAGCTGAGCTCTCTTTCTTATAGTGAAAATTAAACGTCTGTCAAGCCTAAAATCACTTGCCTAACTTTTTTATTTAACCCTCCTTTTTAACTCTAGTTAAGTCAATTGACCCTCTCATATTAACCACATTTAACCGCCACCCTACCTCCCTAACCGCTACTAACTGATTTCTTCTCTCTCTCCCAAAGACAGAGTGTGAGAGAGAGAGAGAGAGAGAGAACCCTTAAGCCTCCACGTCTCATGTGTGGCGGTCCATCACGTGCCTGATCACCTCCTCTCTGACACATCAGTTCACAATCACTGGGGACCACCGCGGCCTTCTCAGCTTATTTATTTTGATTTACCTGTATTTGCTACTCGCTTTTGACGTTGAGTTATTGATACTCGCTAGTTATGTTTGCCACGTTGTCAAATGTTTTTGAATATGGTTTCGTACGGATTCGTCTGTTGATTGTAATATGTACGTCGTTGACAGCTGTCCTGCTCATGAGTACGGTAAAAGGGGTCTATGTTCTTCAAGGTTACTGGTTCTTCCGGTTTGTGTCTCTGTGCAAATTCCCCCGTCAAATGTTTCCCGCTAGTTTACCGCGCTTTGACTCGTGTGATAGGCTTTTTATGTGTAGCTATTACTGGTTAGGTGTACTGTTCTATACAGTGGGCTATTTTTTTTCAAAAAAAAACCTTAAAATTTAAAAGTGTTGAGTTTGTTTGCAAAAGAAAATTCAAGAGTCTTGTCTCTACGGTACAGATTCAATAATAATATTTATAATATTAATAATTATATATAACATATTTTATTCAAATTCATATATTTTTTTAATTTATTAAAAAAATTATGGTTTTTATTTTCATAGTAATAATATTTTTAAAAAAATTAATAATAATAATTTTTAAATTTACCCTTCTAATTAAATTTATATTTGTTTTTCAAATTTATTAAATATTAGATTAATAATATTAATTATAATAAAAATAAAAATATTTTTAATATAAATAATAATATTAATAACAATATTAAACTTATTCAAGAGTAAAGAGTTTGATTGCAACCCAAAATATTAGAACTAATCATTTTCTCTTGAATCATCTTTTAAATATCATATATATCCTAATAAAAAGATAATTTCACCCTCCCCGCAAGCTTTGCAACTCTTTATTGTAAAAATAACTCTATTATTATACTGTTATAATTTATAGTATTTTGTATAATAGTAACAAAAAATTTTTAGTACATTGTATAATAATAATATACTATTAAAAATATTATTATGTTTTTTTTAAAAAATATATTTATTTAAATATATAAAAATCCCTAAATCTATAGCTATTAGCCACATTGACTTACCTGATGCTAGATATAAGTTATTAATCATCTTAAATAAAAAAATAAATCAAATTATTAGAATTAAAATATTAATTGATTATTCTATAAATAGATTTTATTCCTATCTAACTTGAATTTTCTTAGAACATCATTGTTGATACCGTTTATAAAAACCTAATAAAAAGTCAGTACTCATAGGAAGAAAAAAAAACCCAACAAATCACTTTAGAACACATTATTCTCAATAAAATTTAAAAATAAAATAATTATATCTTTAAAATCAGTCTAACATGTATCTGAACTTGAAATGTGGTGGGCATCCAAACCCATCTTTTACACATATTGATACGAAAATAAAAGAGAGAGGAGTTTTGAAGCTATTATTTTGTATCACAACTGAATCTGACTAGAAAAAAGGTCTCAATCTCAAATCTGGCGTGGCTTCAATAAAAATCAAATCATTGCATCCTTTTTCTTGCCTTTTTTGTTTTGAGCAACAGTAGTATGATTAGACATTCAATGTACAGCCCATAACGTGATATGGGTCTCCATTTGCCTTTCCCAGTACGTCTGTGGCTTCAAATGGTCTGTTAATTAGTTTTCTCAGCTCGAGAGCTCTCACAAATCTAATGGATATAAGGCTCATACGAGATCCTTGCTATTATTCCATGTGATTTCACTTACGCTCTATGCTATCCAATTGTTGACGCAAAGAGTGCTTGCAATGAGCTAGAACACAACAAATTTGTGCATCTTTACAATTCAGAGGTTTGAGTTTGGTCGTAGTTAAAACTAGAAAGGTTGTGATTGTTTTTTAAATATTTTTTATTTTAAAATATATTAAAATTATTTTTTTAAAATTATTTTTGATACTAACACATCAAAATAAATATAAAAAATATATTAATTTAAAAAATTAAAAAAACACATTGTTAAACACTTTCTAAACTTTTTTTTTTTTTTCTGTAACACGGGGGGTTGCTGTAACACATCACTGACATAAGATCAGCTTATTAACAAAAATAAAATAAAAAGAACAAATTTTCACCCATTTCCCTTGTTTGTCAAAATTAGGGTAGACAACAATTGCCACTTATGTTCGTAGTCATGAGAGTTTGCGTCCCTGTTAAGCAACAATAGCTGTGACTAGTTCACAAAAGTAATAATGGCTATAATCATCAATATGAGGTGTGATCTCCTCTATTATTTTTTTTAATTTATATACTATTTTGGTGAAATTTAAACATATTAATATTGAGCTAGTCATCTAAAGGCAGATCATCCATGAAAAAGCCACCTCTTTTCACTTTTTTTTTTTTTAAATTATTATTATGTTTTCCCAGCCTGGGTTTTCCCAGTCTGAACCCTTAACCTTAAAGGCTTTCGATAGTCAAAGCAAGTGCAAAAGGTTACGATCAAGGCCAGCGTTCATCAATCAATCATTTTAGAATCTAAATTAGTAGTTTAAACTCTTGAATTAAGGTTATTTTTTAATATAATATTAAAATTTCTTTGACCAAATATTTTAAATTAAAATCCTTCTATTTACATTATTTCTAAATAAATTTAGTACAAACACTTGCACAAGTCTTAAATCTTAAAAGTTTTATTTGAGAATTTATGCTATAATATAAAACCATTTTAAAGATTTTGCATATCATATAAAGTTTTGGGTTGGGAGAGGTTTTTTTATTTTATAATATTGATTCTCATTTTCATATCATATTTATGTTTTTTTATATATATATATATATAATTAATTTTTAAGGGATGTAATTCAACTTATCAGATTTTATATTTATTTTTTAAAAATTATTAATTTAAATTTTATAAATATCAAGATCACTAAAAATTTATATAATCATTAATTTTAAAATTTATAAAATTATTGGAGATACTTAATTAAAAAAACATATACAATCACTTCATCAAACGTGCATGTCCTTGCAAAATTTAGATGGAATCACCCCGCATATTAGCTAGCCAATCCCTTGAAATGCAAGCCAGGTTGGCCCCCATGAAGTCTTGGTGTTTTGCTACCCCCACCAAAGCCTCGCTCACTTTGATGTTTCCGCTTCTGTATTCTGTAGTGTTAAATTGAGGGAGAAGGTGCAACGCAGACAGCAGTATTGTTGAAGCAACGTCTTGCTGTCAGAAATTAATTAAAGTAAGCTTGATAACTTAATCGGCTTCCTTAATCACACAAGAACTTAATTGACATAAAATTATGGAGCATGTCTTGGACCCTGCACGCCACTGATCTTGAGTTCCTGAATCATAAACATAACAAAAATAACTCTTACAAGGATAATGAAAGCCTGTCAACGTCGACTGTTATTACTCGGATTAGAAAAAACTCTTGACAAGGCACTTGTTTAAATGCTACTTTCAGTACTTGGATTGTCTAAGGAGAAAATAAACAAATAATAATAATAAAAAAAAAATACTTGCATTGACTGTGCACAACATAGCAAGGGCATGGCAGCCGTGGTGGATTTTTTTTAGCCATTAATTAGCGAGGTTGATTTCTTGTTCCAAAATGATGGTGAAAGAGAGACTTTTGGACTTTTAGCTCTAGCACCGCTTCGTTGCTTTATTTACCTACCTCTCGTGATGATTTGCAAATGTCATCAACTAAAAATTCTGTTCTAAATCTTTGTTTTATTGCGATTCGTCTGTGTTAATGGTGCGGGAGGGTCAACGTCCCTTCATGTTTGTGTCTGCTGCTGCACTGGGAGGAGGGGGGAGTCAAGAATGTTTTAATTGAATCTCTGGAAATTGCTTCAAAATCCAAGAAATGTGAAAAATTAAGATACATAACACACAATTTTGTAGTTGTAATGAACGTGGACCACCATTTCATTCAATTCAAAGCTCCACAAGAACCTTGACTAGCTAAATATTGTACGTACTGATCAACTCAAGTTTGGTGGTGAAGTGAACCACCCACAAGAACCATATTGAAATGGCACTCACCATGTTTATAGCGCATTCCATTTTCTAATTGCTCGAAGCAATGCCTGGCCATAATTAATAATCAGTGTGTCTGTACGAATATATATATATCCATTGAATGGCATTATTTCCGTGTTGCCTGCGCATCAGAATGCATGTGCATGTTCCCTTATTTGGTCAAATATACAACTTCTAAGTTGTAGTTAACGTGTTACAAGAGGTTTCAGGGGGACGTTTCCGACCAACTTCACTGGTAAAATTGAATATTGATCAGAATCGAACTGTGGTTGGTGGGGGTTAGCAGCTGGTTTGTTTATTTGGTATGTGGATTCTTCGTTGCCTGCACAACTCGAGAAAATAAAATAAAAAATAAAAAAAGTCGCATGTCTGTGCGCCGCTAATCAGGGGAGCTAGAGCCTGTTAATTGATTCCTTCCTTAATACGAAATGCTAATCCCACCAATTTCTTCATCTCTTTGATAAAACAAAAGTTGGTAATGAAACTTGTGGGAGTTCATGTTGACTCCTTACGTGTTTTTTAAAATAATTTTTCATTTGAAAATGAATTAAGTGATTTTTTTTCATTAATTTGATGTATTTTTAAATAAAAAAATACTTAAAAACAGCTAGAAATGTGCTCTCAGGCACCCGATTGTAATTTGTGTTGATAGGTCTGAGGAAATGATAGTGATCAGTTGCTTATATATCTCCACCAACTCCTTGCTAA